TCAGTGTCTGGAAAAAATCTGCTTCTGTTCAGTTGCGTAAAATGATCATCTGGCGCGGGGATTGGTACTGGTGTCTTTCTAGGTAACTGCTTAGTCCAGTCGCAAAATCGTCACATATTCCAACTGAACTATCCTATTTTTTACTACTACAATTGGTGTTGTTCAAGACTAATAACTAAATGGTTCAAGAACGCCGGAAACTCCCAATCTATCTGGTTCTTTGTTTACTATAGAGCACGCCGTATAAGACACTTTTGGTGTTTTGACGGGAAAATAAGTTTAACATTTGGTTTCAAATATATTTTATCTTTTACCTTCGTACAATAACCAAAGTCATTTCGAAAAATATTAGAAAACTTCTGTTTCAGTTTGTCGATCGTATGTGGATATGAAGATTTCTGGAGAGTTGAATGAGATATTTGATTTCAAATAAGATTAAGTGACTGGTTGAGCATTTTTAATTTTGTGTTCCGGTCGAAACCCAATAGATTGAGGGATTCATCAGTAACCTAGCATCTGGATTTGATTATCAGGTTGTTAAATCCAAAAATACACTTGATAATCCAGAAATTTTAATCGGGACTCCCGTTTCATTCTTTATGCAGCCGGTGGTAATATGAATGCTTGACCAACCAAGTTTTTGCTAGGTTTTGAGAGAAATCAAAGTAACGTCGGATGAAGTGTCCAACTGCAAAATGATAATACTATCATTACCAATAATGGATAAATACTTGCGTAAGCATTGGGGGTTAGGCTTCAACAGTACATGTACACAATTGATCCTGTTCAGCATTCAATGATTAGATAAGGGTTTTCTGAGCTCGCAAAATCCCTGGTTGTGGCCAGTTACTTCACGTTTTGTGCATTAATGTCTTTTGAATGGACAGAAACAAAAGAAATGCCATGCCCTACAGTTTCAAAAATCAGTTGCAGGCCTTGCAGAGCGACATGAATTAGAGTCGTTGACATTACACATTCGATTTCAGTGATGAAAATTTCGCGAATCATGCTTTGTGACAATAATAGTAAAATGTGTAGCGTGGCGTTGAGTCGAGATTGACTATGAACACCGCTACCAAGAAGCTCGTTCCAAATGACTCCATAAAATCCCCCGAGAAGCCAAATATCAGAAGGCAATTAATGAACCAAATCGATGTTTATTTGCTGGCGATCTCGTGGCATCGAAAGGATACCGAGATCGTGCCAGGATAGAAGCTTGGTTACAGAACGTAACCGAATTCGCGCGAAGTTACAATCGAAGTGTAAGAATAAGAATGGAAGCACAATATAGCTGTCATTAGTACAGTCAAACAAAAGCACATTAAAACAAACACTGGTACAATTGGTTACAATAATAATTGTTTTTATTAAACCAGTCGTGTTCTCGTGATAAATGTGAGTCACTGCAAATGTTCATCAAGTCGAATGAATCCGAATTATTCTCAGATGTATTATTACGATTTGAACTTTCCATCATTTTAGTGTCATTATTAAGATTAATTATAAGAAGACGACATTTGTTTGCGCTATTTTTAAATGTGATGTTTGAAATTCACTTTATTCTGCTTAAAATTCTATAACGAATATATGACTCGGCCTTTGGTTGTGATTCCTTTGTAGTTCTCGCATTTGCTCAGCTTTTTCCTTGGTATCTCGATGAGTTATCCTTCTTTCCAGTCTGTCTGTAACATTTGTTCTTCCTTCCAAATATTTCCAAATTGGATCTGAAGTATATTTACAGCTTCTTCTATGTCTGACTTCAGTGCTTCAGATGGCATGCTATACCGTCCTTCTATCTCAGCGTCGTTGTTCTCTTCAATGACATTGGTAATATTAGTAAATATTACCACGGTAACATCTTTTAGGAGATCTGTACGTAATCGTTCGGTGTTCGGAGGGCTCGGTATCTGCTTAAGTCTGCTTTTCATCGTACAGCGTAGGTAGCCAACCAGCTCTTCAGAGCGATCTGTCCACTCGTTCAATTGCTTTTGAATCTCAGTAGTCAGTCTGCTCTCTTGTTCCTCGATCGGTCGATCTGGCTTACCATATCTCTCTACTAACTTTTGTGTTATTGTTCTCAATGGGGTTCTCTCTTTTTTGAGTAGGTCTTATAATATTTCGAATAAACTGCCGAGAGCCATCCTGGGTTTACTGAATTGGTAGCATCCCGAAAGTTGTTTTAAAATTTTGCAATACTACTTGCTTAGTAGTTCGATGGTATTACAGCTTGGACACCACCAGATGGTAATCTTAAGTTATATCATCTTCTCTCTTTGTTCTTACGTCTTCCATTGATATTCTGAACTTTTATCTGCGAGGATGTGATCGATTTGATTTTTAGTAGTGAGGCCTGGCAAAACCCATGTGCCCCTGTTTATGCATTTTTCGAGGGAAAATGCTGTCTCCTATAACCGTATAGTTGAGCTCATATATATTTCCAAGTCTTTCACCGTTCTCAGTCGTTGTCCTGGTGTGTATTGCTTCATGTTTTCACACCTGTAGTTGTCCATACCGACGTTCACGTTCAGGTCCTTCATCAGGAACATCCTGTGTTTTCATTGTGGGTGCATGGCAGTGTAATTTCTCCCCTTTTTTTCATTGGCATTTCGACTGTGCTAGGTCCATGAGATTCCTACCTATAAGGGCCACCAATGCTTCTTTGGATAGCATCAGTAAAACCCCCATGGGTGTGAGATATATTCTTCTTCATGACCGAAATGCAACAGGACCTCTCCTAAAGTTTTATTTGTTACGAATACTGCCATATAGTATCTTCTCATACACAAAGATATTTGAACTGTCTTTTAGGATTCCTGTATCGTCTGGCTACGTTATATACCTGTACTAATTGTTGCTTTGGCTTCCAGAGAGGGCATCAACTCATGATTTACGAATGATCTATACTCTCACGATGAGACATCATAGTTCTTCTACATGAAGAACCTTCAATTACCAGAGCACAGTTTAAGTCAGTGCTTCTTAACGAGGTTGTTTTTGCGCGGTGTGATCGCAAACCACATACCAAACCCTCTGCCCTTATTTGGGCCTTGAATCGTCAGCGACGGTTGAAGGGCTCCAAGTGGACTTATGTGAAGTAGTAACACTAGTTATCTATCATGTATAGCCTCATGGAGAATATATTTGAGGGTGTAGTGATACAATGGAACGATTCAGATTTTGAGTTCTTTACTTCATTTAGTGTAAACTAACATCTCAAATCCTAAGGGATGCACCAAGTTTCCTATTGAGTAACCCAGAAACGTGGATGGGTCATGTCACTCGATAACAAACTTCAAGAATTATCCCCGTGTGATGAGTACAAGGTGTGATTACTTTCCAGTTATCTGTATTGTGACTTTGTCGTTCCTTCTAGGGTTCGTTTTAAAAATGAACCTAAGAATGAATTCTATAGGATGCTCAAGGGTGTTTATGCCTCTGTGGGTCATCATAAGATTTTTTCTTAGTAACTTATATTATGAAGGGCAATGATTCAACGATATAAGGTGTTCTCCATAGGGCTCGAAGTTGAGCACACAAACTGATCTTTTGTCTAATCTGTAAGGATATTCCAGAGTATAGAAAAGGAATGACTATTTTACCTTACTCTAAATGGGGCTCGAGTAAAATTTTCAAAGTTTAAGTGGAAGATACTTTTTAGAAAACTTATCAAGAACTAGCCTTCAAGTTATTATTGCAGATTATGCTCTAAAAGTATTTCTGTCATAGTGGGCATAAGAGTTCATACTATAGGGCACCAAGACACCAAGATCTTTTCAGTCAGTGACCAGCGTTTTATTTATGTTTTACAGCATGTTTCTGATGGATCATTTCACATTTTAAAGTGTTGAAAGTAATTTTAATGTAATCCATCCAACTTTGATGTCGATCAGGAACTCCCTGAAGCGGTAACTTGGGATACTAGTTTCACTTTTTTTTTCTATGAAGCTCAAAATCACCAACAAAAGCAATATCCCCGAGAGTACTAACTCAGGGTGATCATTTGTACAAATTAAAATGGAAGAGGTCCAATTACTAAACCCTGAAGGACCCAGCCACGACATTCTGCATCCAGAAGAAAGTTAAAGTTTGCTCTGACCTTAAAAAGTTGACTACTAAGATATAACTAAAGTCAGTCAGTCAGTGATTACTTAATAACCATCAGCCTGAACTTACTGGTATGACACGTATGATCGACTGATTAAAAGCTTTTGGAAAATCTAGATACATTACACTCACTTTCTCCCTACGACAGAAGATGGTGGTTGATTTATTCATAAAGGAAGATAACATAAGTGAACATAAAGCAAAATGTCTCAGTAATCTAATCATCTGGAGTCCTTATCTGAAGTCCTCTGAGCCAACGATTTTATTAGTGTTCCTCCAAAGAGTGATATCTCAAGAAATGATTCATTTGGGTAAGCATAGCCAAAGTAACTATTTACCGCCTTTATCATCGGTTCATTCAGAGTTATCCTTTACATCTTTTATGTGCTGGTTTTAGGGTATATATTTCTGTTGAACCATAAACTAAAGAAATACCTCCTAGAGCCTTCAAATTTAACTTGTTCCACATTAGCCTCTAGTTTTTCACAGGGTATTAAATTAATTGTACTTGGGTTCGTTTTTTTTTTACTGAATATAGGATGTGTTATAAATAATATTTGATTTTTTTTCTTTACAAATAACAAAACAAGAAAAAAAGAATAAAATGAACAAGAAGTAATATTCGATAAAACAATAGGTAAGTGAATTATTTTAGATTACTATAGTGCATATAAGGTATATATGTATACATTAAACATATAATATGTATACATTTGCTTTCTCTAAAAGAGATAAGATTGTTGATCCTTATGGTTTGCTTTCATCTAATGTTCATATTTGAATAGTAACCTTGTTTGTTTATATGATGTTTATTTTGTCAATGGATTTATCTTCATGTTTAACAAATGATGCCATTTTTTTGAAGAAAAAAAAAACTTAATAGATTAAATGAAATATTACATTCGATATCGAAGTACTGAATCAATAGTACCGCCGTTAGAATGTTGATTTGAGTGTAGATTTTGAAATTCATCTCTTGTTGTCCTACACCATTCTGAAGATGTTGAACCTCCTGAATTTTCCTAACACAAAAATAGAAGATATTTTCAGTCAATAATATTTTAAGAGGAAATTGCAAAAAATCTATCAAAAAATTGTTAAACGATTTGATAATCTTAATTAGATGACTACTACATTTGAAAGATAGTTTGTTTTTGCACTAATCATTTCACTATTCTTCAAAATTTAAACTCAGCAATTTGAATATAAGAGGCTCACTACTGGATCCTAAGTGCCTGAACTCGATTCCTGGTGAATTTCGAGGTATAAACTAATAAATAGTATTAAAACATTCGATTACCAATCATAAAATAATATAATTTTGGCGAATATTTTTTTATCATGAAGTGACTGTTTAACTATGTTTAGTGAAATGATATTAGTCGATTAATGTAAGCATTTAGACTGTTGAATAAAATGAAGGCGACATCACTATGCTACATTCTTGAGATTTTAGTGGATGGAATTATGATATAGTTCATATACATTTTTTTTCTTAGATCTACAATATGGTGAGATAATAGATCAATATTATCAGTAGACTTTTATCTCAGTTCAAACTTGGATGACTCCACAGATCATGATTTCTCGGTGGAAAATTAATAAAATCAAATATCAGCCATTGTGTAACCATTGTGTAAAAGACTAAAATTTAATTAGGTAATGTTCAAATAATTTCGACATGAATATAGTATAGGGATGAGCTTGAAACAAACTCGAAGAGTTCTCAACCTATTAAGAAAGTCTCAGTAAATAGATAGTTTATAGGAAATAAAATAATAACATTATAAAATGTAAACAGAATTTACATATTTGATGAATCTATTAGTCTTCTACATGTTATGCTGTCTCTAAAGTAAAAAAAAAGCAGTGTGAATACGTGCTTATAAATATGGATTATCTCTCTTCTCAAATACTTACAAGCACCTAAATAGATTTTTAACAGTTCCCAAAGTGGTCTTCGTTAGGGTTAGGATTTCCATTATGAACTGACATTACCTACTTTTATCACAAACTTTATAATTTGATGATTTCTATCAAAAACTCAGTGTCCTTAATGATAAATCACCCATTGTGATATTTAAAAGTTATTGTCTTAGTCTCATATAGTGTTCTGAGGTGTATACTGTTTAGGAGTCTGAATTTTCATCATTGTTTTTCTGTAAATAATTCATTATATAAGTACTCGTGCTATGAAAACTAATAGTCTGTCTTTTGTTACATATCATCAAAATTTATTTGTAGAGATGGATGATGGTTAGCAGTGGAATCCTGGACGCACATTCCTTCCTGTTTGAGGCTCATAGGCAGGATGTGCTTGAACCTGAGAGTTGGCGTTCACTCTGGGACTCGAACCCATAGCCGTTCGTTTCAAACGCCATCATGTTATCCACTTAGATGCTGAGTCCAAATACTCACTAGCTTGTGATAGCCACTATCCATCTCTGCTTATAATGTTTTAGACTTAAGGTAATATCAAGGTAATTCATACAGGATACACATATGCTAATAAGAGATTTATCAATTACAGTCCTAAACATCAATGAAAAGATTCAAACAACTAATACAAAAATGGATAAATTTTATGAATATTTTAACTAATATCCTTTAATCTATTCGGTCTTATGTTTTGCTTTACTAACTTAATTATTTTATTTACATAAACTATTTAGTATTTCAGTTTAATAATTACATTAAATTTATATATAATTGTTGTTATTCAATATAAAGCTTACAGAAATAAATAAAATCAAGACTCATTAATTTAAGGATTCTAATTCAATTACATTATTATCATCATCAAAAAGAGAGGTTTTGTGGAGATTTTTTTTAGTAATTTTAATAGTTTGATTTATGAGTCAACTAAAGCTAAATCATCATAAAAAACCTGGGAGCGCTGGACGACCGTCTTGTCTTAGTATGGGACTCCTCAGTAGTGCGTATCCACGATCCCACCTCGCGAGATTCGAACCCAGGACCTATCAGTTAGTGATTTTGTAAATCAGATGATTGTATTAACACCCTAAATATGAAGCAAGATTAACAGACTAATAATATGAATTTGTACACAATCTTTATGTTCTGTTACTTTGTTTCTTTTATAGAAATATAGTTTATATATATATATATATATATATATATATATATATATATATATATATATATATATATATATATATATATATATATATATATATATATATATATATATATATATATATATATATATATCATAATAAGTTTATTATATGAGCAGATATTTCAAGTAAACTCTAGTTTAACTATGAATAAAAGTCCAAAGGATAATGTACGGCTGTTCCATCATATTATTTTAAATCTTTATAGAAATATTCGTCCGTATTATCTACAATATTCTGGTTTGAAGTACTTTAACAATGTAAATACATGACATGCATAAGATCATACTTTATGTGCTTAGGCTTAGAAAGTGATATTTCTATAGCCAATCAACTTGTTATTTATAATGCAATCATCATTGCATTATATCAGAAGGAGATTTTGTGGATATTATAGTAATTTCAGTAGTTAAAATCATGAGTCAATTGAAGAGTCCTACAACAGGACGAAACGACCGTCCAGTGTTTCCAGATTTTTCGTTGTGGTCTAGATTCAATTGACTCATGATCATAACTATTAAAATTACTATACTATCCACAAAGACCCCTTCTGGTAAAACTAAAAACTTTATTTATTTCCTGTATTTTTATTAATTGACTAAGGAATTTTTCAATTTAATATATGACATATCTATTTTTGATGAAATAAAAGTCAACATATTTTTTGAAGAAATATTCAATTATGGTGGGGTTTTGTTCTCTAAGCTCACCAAAATCATCCACCTGAGCTACAAATCTTCTCCACCATCTCAAATATTCAATTAGTTATTCTGTTAACAGTAAAACTGGTTACGTAATCAGTAAGCGTGAACATATTCTTTGATTTTTTTTTTGTGATTGAACCAAAAAGAATAAAAAATGTAACACATCGTTTTTTCACTTCATTAAAATTTTAATTTATATGAACATGCGAATACAATTATTGAATTATTAGAAGTTAGTATTATATAGAGCAGATGGTCCCAGTCTCTCTCTCTCTCTTTCATTCCTCAGATTCATTAAGATACGTTATAGTCATCATCGTCATCATCGTCATCATCATCATCATCATCATCATCTTGAACAAGTTCTTTTTATCTAACACAAAGAAAATAACTGGAAATTGTTTTACATATAGGAAACAGTAACCAGATGGTGTAGCAGTTCTAATCGACACAGCTTTCTTTGTGGAATTTTACAGAGAATAAATATAACCATACTATAATAATTATTATTATGTATGAATGACCACTTAATTTATTTTCTTTCTTTTTACTAATCAGTACATAACTATAAAGTGTTTGTTACATAACTTTACTGACGAAATATGAGGGAGAGGTGGGAGGAAATAAATTTGACTGGTTAGAACAATGTTAATTATGTAGAGATTGTGGTTAGATATTTCAGTTCAGTAATTTCTATTCATTCACCTATTCATACAAACATGTATACACATTAGCATACATTGACTAAAGAATAAACCATTAAGATGCTTGTCCGTACAATTCAATACAAAAATTGTATAGACATTATTTTACTTATCTAATAATGAGATACAGAGAGAAAAATAATCCATCTGTCAAATAATTATTGACCTGATACAATTGATAAGTTCTCTGTACTTATGAGTTTGTATTATTTTAGTCAAGCGTTTTATTTCCTGCTACATAACTTTTATTGTTTCGTTTAAAAGAGAAAGGAACAATTGAGATATTAAGTTGAAAAAAAAGTAAATAAAAGGATTTTTCTTTTAAGCAAAGTTGGCTAGTGGCTAGCAGTGGAATCCTGAACGCATGTTTCGTCTTATTCGGGACTCGTCAACTGGATGTATTTACGTCTCAGAGTTGACGTTCACTCCGGGACTCGAACTCAGTACCGTTCGCCACAAACTCCTTCGCGTCATCCACTTGCTTATAATGAATGTAAATTGAGGCAACGTTGAGGCGATACACACAGTATGCACATATTGCCAATAAGAGACTGATCAATTGCAGTCCTAAACATCAGTGGGAAGATTCAAGTAAACAATACCAAGTGGATTTCCATATTGTTTTTAAAATGTTTTATTGATGTATCGTAAAAAACCACACAAAAATTGATTTGAAAAATCAAATGAATTTTTTTCATAAAAAGTAAACAAACATATTTTTATCAGAAAGGGTTTTGTGGAGATTGTAGTAATTTCAGCAGTTGAGATCCTGAGTCAATTGAAGCTAGACCACCATGGAAAACCTGGAAGCACTGGACGGCCGTTTCGTCCTATTGTCGGACTCCTCAGCAGTGCGCATCCACGGCCCCGCCTCTCAGGATTCGAACCCATCAGTCGACCTATCAGTCTCGCACTCGAAAACTTGACCTCTAGACCACTGATCTGGCATCCAATGGTAATCATGTCTAATTTCAACTAATCCACGAAATTGAGTGACACATCTAACATTGTCCTGGGTTGGAATCTCGCAGGGGGGCTGGATCGTGGATGCTCACTGCTGAGGAGTCCCATACTAGGGCGAAACAGCCGTCCAGTGCTTCCAGGTTTTCTATGGTGGTCTAGCTTCAATCGACTCATCATCTCAACCATTAATATTTGGATAAACTTACTTAAAATATGAATAAATTAAGTAATCGTTCGTTAGTGATCTCTAACACTTAAATATTCGTAGTTGATACTGATCAGTGGTTGGTTCAAAAAAGGTTTATGGTAATTAAGATCAAAATGGAACCTGACCAGTGAGTAGATTATAATTAATCGATAAAGCATCAAGACAAGAGTTAGGAGACTAATGTTTACAGTCTTATCATAATTTAGATACTTCCCATAACCAACCTATCATTGTCGTAAATAAAGGTAATTGCTTTGTAACTTATTATGGGCCTGATTCGAATTACACATATAATATCTTTAAGTCTATACGCTGTTTTATCTCTGACTTAGGTACTGATTTATTCGAAACTACTAGAGTACATAGTAGATAGTCCTGGGAATTACTACTTATTAGTCCAAATTCAATTCTACCATTTATATTCTTCACACAATAATTATCATCATAATAATCAACGCATCATATATGCAAATTAATTTTCAACTTACTAAGTGTGAATAAATATTTGTGAAGGTAGTATTCATGGTACTTATGGGAACATTTTTCAGATTAGATTGTGTTTCGTCAACTACAGATGTATCTTCAGTTTCTATGTTCGGTAGAAACCTGGGGATATTGGATGATGAATTATTTTCATTTAATTGTATAAGGCCAGATATTTGGTTGTGATAGACCCTGGAGTTATGTTCATTGTCCAATGGTGCATTGTTACTCTCATTAGTGTTTCCGTTTGTATTTACTGCCTCGTATTCCAGTTGCCCAGTTGATGTACTCGTATCGTTTGTCGTATTAATATATGGAGAGTCTACATTACTGACATACATATTACTTACATTACTGTCATCAGAAATATGACTGCGATTTCTTATATAATGTGATTGTGGAAAATTGCGTCCTAATAATCGGCTAGATGATGATGATGGTGAAGACATTGATAATGAAGGTAGTGAAGCTAATGAAGATGATGTTAATCCCATTGAGTTCGACGAACCTTCCTGTCTAGGAATTGTTAATGTTGAATTATTTGCAGAATTATCCGTATTTTCTAAATAGTGACTATGATAGTTACTACTTATTTTACTTAGATTTCTTAATTTTGCTATTTTACTTAATGAAATTATACTTGTTGTAGTTTCTTCTGGGATAATATCTTCTACTGAAGCACTTATTGGTGATAATGTGGCATGTACATTTGTACCTGTATTCGAAGCTACAGTACTTGTTGAAGTAATCAGACTGGAATTCAATGAACTTCTGTATTCTGAAGAAAATGATGGAATAAAAAATTGCGCGTTATTATTGTTAAAATTATTTTTACTGTATGGGAATAATGTGTTTAATTGCGTTTGATCTGAAGTTTTTTGTTTCGGAAATTCACAAGCTTCATCAACCGTTACATTTTGATTTAATTGGTGATTATGTTGATGACCATGTGACAATTGCAATAATTTTTGATTTTCTATTTCATTAACAAATAAATCATTCGAAGAAATATTTATATTTGGTTCAATTGAACTGATTGTTTGTTTTAATTGCTCACAAATATTTTGACTTTTGAAATATCGATAAGAAGGTGTAGGTGAAAAATTTACTCGATAATTATTAGATTGTTGTATTGAATAGTTATTTTGTTCATCAGATGCATTTTCTGTACGTTGTTGTAAGTGTTGTGGAGTATTTGACAAAGAAATTGTTGTATGTGCCTGACAAATTCCTGCGACAGCAACTGCGGCAGCCGCAGCAGCGGCTCGCTGCATCAGTGGTCCAGAAGATAAATCTGGTAAAAATGATACAGAATTATTAGAAAAGTGAGGTGTTGTTATTATAGAATGCTGCATTGGTGGTTGTTGTTGTGATTGTGAGGGTTGAGTAGAATGTGAATCAGTCTGGCTGGATAATTCGTTATTTATCGAAAGTGATGTTGATGTTACCTCCAAACTGTTTGAAATCGGAGAAGTAGCTATAGGAAAAATATTACCCCGTCTTGGTCCAGTATTATTATCATTAACATTGTTAGTATGAGGTGAGAGTGAATTATATGACGGATATCCCGAGTTAAATGTAGGTGAAAACACTTTTTTAGACATATAAGGTAAATTAGATCCATAATAGCTCATTAAAGTATTTGTGTTGGTTAGACCTGGTGGAATACCTAATGTAGACGTACCGATTAAGCTAGCTGGAAGTGGCATACAAGAAGAATATGGAAGTCCACCATCAGTGCTAATACTAGTACTACCATTATTGACATTACTATTGTCATTGTTATTATTATTATTACTACTGTCAAACAATGAATGACTGTTAACAACTCCATTTGGTGTCATAGTTATAGAATTTCCATTATAAATATTTGAATGTGTATAAGAATAAAGATGAGAACCTTGACTAGGTGATTGATATGTATTACGCAAACTATGAAATGGTTGATTATATTGTAAATGTTGAATATGTCTATGTTCATGTTGTTGCTGTTGTTGTTTTACTAATTGCTTTTCTTGTTTACGATATTTAGCTCGTCTATTTTGAAACCATACCTACAAAATGTAAAGAACACCAAAAAAAGAAAAAAATAAGATTATAGTTTAGAAAGTGTTAAAAATCAGTTTGAAATGATTATTCGAGAATTTTATTAAGACATTAACCCACTTGAATAGTGAATAATGATTATAGTTATGAGTATACAGTTATGAAGTGTAGTAGGCGGCCTGCTTGAATATCTGGGCTACCTGTTCCTCCGATCTACATATTTCATCAAGTTATCTGTTTTGTTGTTTGTTTTGGCACATCATAATGTCTATTGTGCACACAATCTATTCAGGTGCGTTTATGAAAAGTTTGCAACCTTTCTCTATACGGGATACAAAAAGGTACAATCATCGACATCACGGTGGCTGGAAATATGCATTTAAACGAATGAATATTAATCAAATGTGGATTACCGAATTCCTAACATCTAACTGGTCATCATTCAAAATTTAACGTCACAATCGATCAAGATATAAGTAAAGGAAACTTGTTGAAATACTTTATGCTGAGAATTCTATGTTGTACCAAAAATATAATGTTGAATAAAGCTTCTAATAATAAATAAAAAGTAGCACTAAGTCAATGATTTCATACTTATTAACATTTCGATAAATCATATATTCGTAACACTATTAGAATGAGTGGAATTAGGAGTAATTAGCACAATGTACGAAGTTGTAATTAATAGATCTGTTCATTACTTATTCAAGTAGTCACAAAAGAGTCAGCAGTCAGATGAGAGATAAGACAGTGTACATATTTGAAGGTATTGTAGTTTAATTCAAATGATATGCCTAATAATGTAAAAAGTAGTCATTATTATGTATAAATATCATGATTGTTTAATCAAACTTCATTTTTCGACTAAAATTTCAAAAGAAATGTTTATTATATTTTGGTTTTTAATGATTGGTTAGCTGAAGTTAGTTTATAAAGTTAATTCATTACTTTCAGAAACAACAGTTTAATAATTGAATTTATGAGTCAATTAAAGCTAGACCACCATAGAAAACCTGAAAGCACTGGACGGCCGTTTCATCCTAGTATGGGACTCCTCAGCAGTGCTCATCCACGATCTCGCCCTCTGCGAGATTCCAACCCACGACCTATTAGTCTTGAGCTTGAACGCTTAAACTCTAAATCACTGAGTTGCCATCCAACTGTGTTAATGTCTAACTTCAATCAATCAACGAAATTGCATCACCGTCCATTATAGTCTCAAGTCAGGTACTATCTCACAACAGACCTGGTTGAACTTCACTGGTCAGGCCTTCTCACTAGAACTTCAGGAAATAACTCTTAGAGACCCTTGGTTGGAGTTAGACAATAACACTGTTGGATGCCGGTTCAGTGGTCTAAAGAGCGCTCGAGACTGATAGGTCCTGGGTTGGAGCCTTGCTAGGCGGGATCGTGGATGCGGTCTACTGGGTAGTTCCACACTAGGATGAAACGGCCATCCAGTGCTTCCAGGTTTTCCATAGTGATCTAGCTTCGATCGACTCATGAATTCAATTATTAAATTACTAAAATCTTCACAAAATTCTCTCCTGATAATGATATAATTGGTAAAACTAAATATCACTAGGTTCCTGTTTTATTCTATAGAGATAGATTTGTAATGCTTAACATATAAATCTTCACAGTAGCTATTAGTTTGTAAAACAATTTGTCTAAGTAGTTATGTTAACTTCATGGTGTTCATAAACTTTATTAATGAATTACCAATGACTAAATACACATGTTTCTGTTCACTCTCTCCACTACTATTGATTTGCAAAGTCTCTGAAAATACTGTTGTATATATTTCCAGTTGGTTTCATAATATTTCCTTGGTCGATAGAACACCGTATTATTTACGTGTACGTATTCTTTTGGTAGTGGAATTTCATGAATACAAATCAAGGGACATACTCTAGAGATACTTAGAATTGACTTTTGTATAATTATTTTTAATTTCGTTCTAATATTGTTTTTGGCAATTATTAATTGTATCATCTTTCATCCGTTTGTCATTTTGTGTGTGAGTCATTTTAGTTTACGACAATTCCAGTTTAGGACTTTTCAACAGTATGTATTCAATAATAAACAACATACAGTTAAATTTTCAATAGACTGTAAAGGCGCTATAAGTATAAAATGTATGGAGAAATAGAATGAACTTTAAGTGTGTAGTGACTTTGTTTCGTCAATCAATCACCTCGATAACCGTTATAATATAAATCTTAACGGTATTTAAACTCAGAAGGCAATAAGAAGCGATAACTACAGTTTATTAGCTGATATCGCAGATCACAAAGCTATAAGCACATTGAGTGTATTTGAAGCAGAGTTGGCTCATTTGCCTTCTCCAATGCCCGTTCTTTTATTTTGCTTTGCTTCGCTCTCTCTTCTTCGCTTCCTTCGCTACGTTCTTTTGATTATCTTCACCGACCAACGATTGTACAAAATATATGTATTCGAAAATCCATTCTCATATTTGACTTATTTAATTCCGTTATTCACTAACGCGATCTAAGTCGATAATTATATACAAGGATTGGTTATATATATATATATATATATATATATATATATATATATATATATATATATATATATATATATATATATATATATATATATATATATATATATATATTTAGACAGCAATCATTCAAACGATCTAATTAGAGTCAGATCTTGTGCCACTAAAAAAGTTTAGTAAAACATTAATCAGGAAATTCACTTAATGGAAATGAGTTGATTATCATCATTTTATTACATGATTTATTCTTCTAAATATAATGAGTTTACTGTTCGATTTTCTTTCTAGAAACAGTTCAAAGATGATAATATTAAACTGATGAATACACAACAATTGATTTATATGTCTAGTAGGAATTATTTAAAGATTAATTATGTCATCAACATTAGATTAAACTCCATAAAACAGTAATTCTATGCTTACAACATCTTGGACTGTTGAACATAATATAATTCAATTCTTATTTTGAACATGAAGATACAATCGGACATCATTTACATTTTATCATTTTTAGTCTGTATACTATAAACTTAATATTTTAACTAATATATATCTATATTCTTAGTATACTCAAATTACTTGTAGCAAGTTTAACTTTTACCTTAGGGATAAATAAGTATAAAATAAATATTTATTCGATGATAATTTTAGACAAAATTCTTGTTGTTTCTCTTTTTTTTTCTTTCTCCTCATTTTCTTCTTCATCTTAATTTTATATTTATTTCAAGTATTTTTTTCGAAAGAAGAAGAAAAAAAAGGAAAAAAAACATCTTGAGAAACCGATTGAAAATAATTTAATTACATTTAGTTTACCTACTCGATTGAATAAACTGCTATTAAAGTGTTAAATGTTCAAGAAATTTTATATATATATGTATATGTATATCATACGTATGTTCAACAGTTTGTTCAACTGTATTTTGTTCATCTTAATAACTATTTAAAATTCAAAATAGATAATACTAGGTCAGATTAATTGTGTTAGGAACAGAAATAAAATGTAGATTCATGTATATGTATTTAATTTTGTAATGTATTCGAGCATATCCTTATTTAACCACTTCATGAAACGAATATATAATCAATTGGATAAATATGAAAATGCCAGTGATCAGTTTAATTTTTTCTTTTTCTTTTCTCTTTTTTTTTTCATTTCAGTTCAATAACAACAGTAAAATAAGATATTATTATGTATTTCAACTTTTCTCTCCCCCCACCCCCAAAAAAAGAAAACTGTAAAATGATGTTACTTGAAGTGCATTTGTGTTTCAGTGATAGATACATTTACGAATAGATCAACAAAACTTTTTCTATTTTTTTCTTTTTTTTTGTTGAAAATTAGCTTCTCTATCCTAAACTTCTCGACATTAGTTATGTATAAATAATAAATACACAGTTTAAAGTTAACTTGATATACACGCAGAAAAAAAATGAGGGAATTAAAGTAGATTTAAAAAAGAACTAGTTAATTGTTCCCTTGGGTAGAAAGAGAAGTAACAGTGAGAATGAGAGTGTTTAAAAGAGAGCGATAGAGAGAGAGGGGAGAAAGAGAGGGACAACTGAAATAAGCAAAAATATGATATATAACAGAAAAACTGAATAGTCAATAGGCAAATAAATATTTCTCACTGAAATATGAGAAGGTTGGTAATAAGAAGATATTGGAAAGGATGAATAAAATGTATAAAACAGTGACCTAAGTGAAAACTACTGTTTTCTTTCTTTCTTTCTTTTTTACATTTAGAATGTATTCATAAATTTCCCATGAATTTAATGTATTTTCAATGGATTTATTCTTGATTGTTTTTAATTTGTTTGTTTCAACTAAATCTCCTTACTAAATATATAAATATAAATTGTTTGCTTGAATCTTCTCATTGATGTTTAGGACTGCAATGGATCAGGCAATACGCACAGTATGCATATATTGCCTATAAGAGACTGATCAATTACAGTCTTAAGCATCAATGGAAAGATTCAAGTAAACAATACCAAGTAAATTTAAATTTCACCCCATTGCATAAGCAAGTAGCTATCAGGACTTTGTAGCTAAGTGGATAACGCGATGGCGTTTAAAGCGAACGATACTGGGTTTGAGTCCCTGAATGAACATCAACTTCGAGATGCACGTACACCCAGCTGACGAGTCCAAAATAGGACGAAGTGCGCGTTCCGGATTCCACTACTAGCCATTATTCATCTCTTTTTATTGTTTAAAATAACGTGAAATTATGACTGAAAGATTTAAATAATAGTTTTTTTTTAAAAGTATAAAACGTTTGTATAGGTTGTTTCTCGTTAAATCATGAAGTGAATTTAGTTGAGTAATCAATAAAGACTACTGTGCCCTGAACAGGTTTTTCATTTTAGAATAGAACTCTTCATTAGTATACATCGACAAAATTGTTAAGGATCTAAAACAATACGTTCAGATCTTACAACAAGTTAGTCAGTCAAATAACCAAATTAGAGTCTGACAGTTATGTACATCTATCCAAATTGTCATGTCATATCGGTACAGTGAGATGAAATTATCAAGAGAAATGTTAGATTGGTAGAAATGATAATATTTTAAGTGATATTAAAAAAATCATGTAAAGAATAGGCTACGCCATGACAATTAAACTTACATCTAATGGTTTACATTTTTGTGACCTATAAAGTTCAGTCATATAGAGTTTATAAGAGTTAACTACTAGTTAGATCAAATGAATATTGAAATATTCTAAAAATCAGATGAACTTGGAAATGTGAGCCTATAGATTCTAATTCAGCCATTCAAAAGCATTCTTTTTGATGAGGCACATGAAAGCTCCAAGTTCATTAAACATCTTCATCTGCATGAAAAAAAAGAACAACTAACTATTTTAGTTCGATCAATTTTTATTATATAGTTATGTGTATATATATCCTCTTCTGCAATGTCTCTAAATATAGCAATTTTAACCTACCCAATAGATATTCCGTGATTTCTTTCATTTAATTACATAACACACATTAACTATCATTTGTGATTATAGCAAAGAAAATACGATATTATAAACAAGGAAAGATATTTACTTGTATTCGTGCTTCATTTAATTTTGTCATTCTTGCCAATTCTTCACGACAATAAATATCTGGATAGTGAGATTTTTGAAAAGCTGATTCCAACTCTTGTAGTTGATCTTGTGTAAATGTTGTACGATGACGTCTTCTAGCTGGTGTGGGACATGAACTGGCTGTGGTTGTTGTTGTTATTGCTGTTGTCATCGCTGAGTAATGACCAGTTGTTCCAGTCAATGAAGCATGCTTTATTCCACCAGATGATGGACTTTCATCTGTAGACAAAGAATGTAATGATTCTGGACTACAAGGTGATTGTATATTACTCAATGAAATATCATGACTAATTGCATATGGATTAATATTGGTAGCAGTACGATTTAATGAACTAGATCGTAAATGATGCATTGTATTTGATAAACAGCTTACACCATTGAACAGTAATGGTGGCTGCGAAGCATATGGATGTGGTAATGGAGGACCATTTTGATTCAATCCAGATGTTGAATTCGATGAGAGTGAAGTGAGTGGAGGATTCGGAAACAGAAGACCTGCTGTTGAACTGTTAAAATTGAAACCGGTCAATGATTTCACAAACGAAGATGCAGCAGCAGAAAGACTTTGTTGAGTGATTGGATCAAATGGAAGTCCAGTATCTCCTGAATCCATTGAAAGTGCTTGATGTTGGTTATGATGATGTGTTTGGTGAAAATGGGCATGTTGATTCGACTTCATTTCCCTATTAGATGGAGGTGATTGATCGGAACTGAAATCTCTCATATTATTAGCTGTTGTTACAGTTGATGATACTGACGAGAGAGAGGAAGAGGAAGAGGATGGTGGACAATCTGAATGAGACAAATTATTAAAAGGATACGCTGAATTTGGTCTCATAGGACTTGTAATATGCTGTGGTTTCATATCGGCAGTATAACCTATATAAGAAAATGATAAAGGGAACATAAATTTAGCAAGATAAAAATATTATATTTATTCGGAAAATTACTTACGGTTAAATGGTAGAAATTTTTTGGAAAACATTTTAATCTCAAACTAGACGTCATTACCGAAATCTTTGTCGATAGTGTGTTGAATATGAGCGGGATGAGAATGATGACACGAATAAAAAATTAGATTTTTGTTAGTGGTAGTAGTAGTAGACTGATGTGTGCCACTGATGTCAACAGATATAAGTCGTAAGTATCAACAATCGAAAGTGGAATGTCTGACTGTAGGAGGTTGAGAAAATTGAAGAGAAGAGGACGAGAACAAAGAGTGGTTGGTATGAAAACGAAAGAACAACGAAGTCTGAGACAATTTATGGAAATTTTGCAAATGAAGTATTTACCGTATGGTTCTCAGATTCTGTAATGTTCTATTAAAATTCATTTGATCGTTCCCGCCTGTGTCCTACTTCACTACAGTAGTAGTAGTAGTAGTAGTAGTACTATTTTGTTTTTTTAATTGACTTTTCAATGTTCGTTTTAATAATGAAAGGCTATTACTGGTTAAGTGATTGATTAGTAAAGTGACCACCATAAATCAATAATATAGTTTTCATTATTGATGACCTTTGAAAATTATAACATATATAGTGTAAATCATTCTTCAACCAATATTAAATTAGCAGAATAAGGCTGTGGAGATTGTTGGGTTTAGATTGATATCATAGATGGATCAACGTTAGGTCGTTATTGAAAGCCTGGAAGCACTGGACGGCCGTTTTGTCCTAGTATAGGACTAGCGAGAAGTGCACATCAACGATCTCTCACGTGGAACCTTCTGTCTGGCGCACGAATGCTTAACATCTAGACCACTGAGCCGGTATTCAACGGTGTTAATGTTAAAATTCAACCAATCCACGACATTATGCAATCATCTTCCGTTGTCTTCAGTGAGTAACTATCTCACAACAGACACGGTTGTGATTAGTGGAGTTCAACCGTGTCTGGTGCGATGCATTTACCCACCTCAAGTTTTCAACGGTAGTCTAACATTGGTCCATTCATGATATGAATTTAAACTCAACATTAAATTATCTCTTATCAACTGTAGTGCAGTTGGATGTTTTAGCATCCAACCTAGACATTTTATGAAATCAGTTTACTAAATAAGATTATTTAACCTGTGAGTTACCGATATATTCGTTGATCAAACAAAAAAACCCAACAATTAACCGTTCATTATTTCTTACTCTTGGATTTCTAGCCAGTTCATAATATTACACCATTATGATTCCTACTAGAGTAACAGATTCATTTTCACAATTAATTTCTTTCCAATAAAAATAATTTGCTAAACTGTCAAAATCGATACAGAATTTCCATTATGTCATACTACAATCAAGTTATCCTATGTAAATATAGATTTTATTATTAGAATATTCAGTTCAAAAGAAACTAGATATTTAACAAGAAAAATCTTCTTTTGAAGAAATCGCTATCTCACTTAACACTATCTCACATACACGTACAAATACCATAGTCCTTTTTTTTAATTCTCAATCCTCGTTTATATTATTCTTAGTACAGTGTTTTGATAATAGGAATTCTCTGGACATCAGCATACATCCACACACACACACAGTTACAAATACATATATGTATTTATATATCATTCAGTAATTATTAAGACAAGCAAATTCAATTTGGCCAGACAAAGCAAAATGACCTCAATGAAATAAATTAATATTGATATATCATATTTGTAACTCATCGTTACCACAATAATAATAATAATAATAATAACGATTATTATTATTATTACTGTTACTGTTATGTATATTGTTTTGTTTATTACTTTCTTCATAGCCCAAAACAAACGATGACAACAGTGATAAAAATGTATACCAATCAATGGAAGAAAGAAATGCTTGACCATAACACTTCAATTCATTGAAGCGTTTAGTTTTTGAGACGAGGTTTCTTTAAGTAAAGCAGAAGTTGGAGAAGAAGAAGGAAAGAAATCAATCTTTTTTTGAATAGGTAAAAACATATGAGTAATCTGAATTTATTTATCATTAATAATTTGTCATTTTCATTATTGTGGCAGTGGGTTATAGCAATATATATATATATATATATATATATATATATATATATATATATATATATATATATATATATATATATATATACATTTTAGAGAAATAAAAATCAATTTGAAGATAATGGCCAAGACGTGTTGGATGTATTAACCTTAGTGTTGATGTTAGTATTTTAATAAAACATTTGGATAGTTTCACTTGTGTTCACACTAACTAATCAATAAGAAGTAACCAATGTCATGTTTTTCTAGCCTTTAGTGCTAATTGAATTCTATCGATCAGATTTAATAGAGGCTACTAGTTCAAGTGACTCGAACTCGACATCCACAATGTATTGTGTTATGTGATTGGAGACAATCAACAAAAACCTTTGAAGCTAGGTTTTGAGATAGTTATCACTTTTAAGTAAAGCATATCTACAATTTAAAATGAGATTAAAGTTCATCGGGACATTCATATTTGTGTGTCACGATCAGAGATATTTTCATCGAGCAATTTGTATTGTATCTAAGCCCCTGTATGACTAAGGTATTTTATATCAAATGTCATGTTGTCCAATCTTAATTTAAGTTCCCTTCCACTTTTTATCCTTTTTTATTTTTTGTTACCAACTAATTATAAACAAGGAATGATTTATTGTTTATGGTATATTAATATTGAGTATTTTCTTCAGTGGACAATAATTTTTAGAAATGTACTAATGTTTTAGTCATTACTATCATGTAAATCAGTAAACTGATGGATGACACATTGTGATTTGTCTACGATGGAATTGTTTTATATAAATAATTTTTTTCACCAATATTCACTGATGCCGATTCGAAAATAATATGCTCTTATCATCAGGAGTAAATTTGAAAGCGAAATAGATCATTATGTAAGAAATGTATTGCTTGACAATAACGATGTTTCGACGAAAAGACTCTATAGTTGTAAGGATTTATGTTGCAAACGATTTGTTTTCATATAGCCTCAAAGTTTACTGATAAATTGTCAGGTTTAGTGAAAGAACACTGAATAATATTTCAGTTATAATGTCATTCATAACGGTAATCCTGATATTAAAGATCGATCACTTAACGTTGATTTGTTTGCCGAAATTCGCCAAGATCATCAGTGAACGACGCTGGTAATGTAATTAATTGGATTAAAAAGCCTGTTGTTGTTATCTACATTCTTCCAATAGTTCAATAAGCATGTAGTGCCGATGACTTAGGAGTATGTTTCAGTTCACTTAATAAATGAGTGTTACATATAAGATAGTAATTTTCATAGGAGATTTAATGTCAAGCTTTAACTTCACTATTTTCGTGTTTCACATGTAGAATTTTGTGCTATGCCACATTGATGTGTTCATAGCACATATTTACAGAACTCTAGACGTTTTAAATGAAATTTTTAATGAAAAATACGTTCTACTATGTAAAATTTACTCAATCACTGAACGGAAAAGTTGATTAAAATGCTGGATATAACACATCTGTTGGGAATAACTTCAACAGTTACATGAAGTAATCTTGCTGTAACCGGTCTATTCGATTCTTTCTTTTGTTTACTTCATTAAATTTAATATTCCCAGGTAAGATTTCGCTTATTCCTTAAACTGTATTACATAAGATAGCGTACTGGATCATGCGGTTCAGAAAAAATCTTTCTTCAAATAAACACTATTTAATGATGGAAAAAGAAGGTAAGCACGGCTTTCTATCTTAAGCTGAAAAATTATGTATAAAAAGGGGTCCAAAACGATTCAAACTTTTCACTACTTGTTTGCACGGAATCTTTTCATAATTAGGATAATTTATCAGATTGCCAGAAATATCCAGTTCGTGAATGTGAGGAAAATCTTAATAAATAAGTTGAACACGAATTCTAAAGTTAAATTTAAATATTGTTCCAACTTCAATGCTTCATAAACTTTACAGAATTTAAACATTATTGAATTTGAAGCACAAATCAAATGATTTTGGAATGTAATAGAAATCTAACCAAGAATATGTTCCTGTAGTCAGAGTATAACACTTGAAAACTAACTAGATTGTAAATCTTCTATTCTAATTTTTAATCATTTAAATAGACACGAAGTTGGATATTCACCAATGACTTCTAGTGGAAGTTCCACCAAGTCGCTAATTAAGATGATGATGATGATGATGATGATGATGATGATGATGATGATGATGATGATGATGATGATGATGATGATGATGATGATGATGATGATGATGATGATGATGATGATGATGATGATGATGATGATGATGATGATGATGATGATGATGATGATGATGATGATGATGATGATGATGATGATGATGATGATGATGATGATGATGATGATGATGATGATGATGATGATGATGATGATGATGATGATGATGATGATGATGATGATGATGATGATGATGATGATGATGATGATGATGATGATGATGATGATGATGATGATGATGATGATGATGATGATGATGATGATGATGATGATGATGATGATGATGATGATGATGATGATGATGATGATGATGATGATGATGATGATGACTATTACCCACTAGATTAAGATCTCAAAGATATTGAATTGGACAAGTTAATAATCACAAAAAAATTAGTACTATATAGTATTGTAATGAAATAAAACGTTTGTCTAGTATTATGTATATTTGAATGATTTAATAGTATCAATTAGTTTTTATGCTCAAACCACTAAATAATAAAAATACAAATTGACCATGTGTTACATTTTTCTTATTAAAATGACTGTCAATGAATAGTTTACTTGTTATAGGAAAAGAAAAAGAAAAACACCTCAGGTAATTGGATAAAAATAACACTATAGTAGTGTTAAACATATTTTAAATTTTAACCAACTAACAATTTGGCCATCTGTTT